ATCAAACTATTAGAGCTCGAGCTTGATTAAATTCATTTATTGAGTTTGGTACGAAAGCTAAAAATCTAATAAGTTCATTCATATTCAATAATATATATGATAGAGATATAAATGTATTTTAACAACAATATACAAATATATATTAAAATTAAAAAAAAAATTCAATTAAACTCAAGACTCATTTGAGTTTGGATTGTGATGCTTGAGTCTATTTTTTTACCAATAATTTGAGCTCAATTTAATAATTATCAAATTAAATTTAATATTTTCAAGTCGAACGTGAATAGCTTGCAAACATAGATGTCTCATTTACACCTCTAATTTGAACCAACTAATAACATGATAAAAGTAAAGGACCAAATAATACTACTTAAAGTATAAAGACTAAAACCCAAATCTTAGCATAGTAAAGGGACAAAAACCATAATTGAACCCCAAAAGTTCACCAACAAGCGACCCCAGTTAGGTAAATAGAATATATTCTGTTGGGTGAAACGGTGGCGTTTAACCTCTAAAAAACTAACCGAAGATTAAGATGGCACCAGAAGTGCGGTTAAAAGCAGTAAATCCGTTTTCGTTTTTTCCATAAAGCGTCGGTGGAGGCTTCGCCTCTGTTTATAAAAATGAAAAATAAGAATAAAAATAAATAAATAATTAAATAAATAAATAAGAGGGAGAGAGAGAGCTTTCCAGGGAGAGAGAATCGCTTGATTTATAAGCCATTAAAAATCGAAGCAAAAAGAGTCTTTCATATTTATCGAAGGAAAACAGAGTTTCTTTCTGTCTTTCTTTGTTTGAAAATAACAGAGAAAGAGCCACAGCCATGGCTGACTCCAACGATTCCATTCCTCTTGCTGCTGAAAAGATATATCTTGGTGGAAAGGTTTACACCCATTCTTTTTTTCTTTTGCATTTCCATTTCCATTTTGCATTGTTGAATCGGGTCTTTAGTTTTGGGTTGAAACGAATTTGATTATGCAATATCGAGAAATTTAACGAAACGGGTTTCATTGGATCTATGCATTCCTTACTTGATCAAATTTATTTTTACACATTTTGGTAAGCCGGGAGAATTCCCATTTTATTGTTTGCATTTTGATTGTTGAATTGGTTTTCGTAGTTTTTCTTGGAAAATAATTTCTTTTTTCTCTCTTGATGATGGGTGGAATTTTGGTTTGATTCAAAGTTGAATTGAACTTAATTCCGCAATATGACAATATTCAGACTTTGACGAGATGGGTTTCATTTGATCTTCCTTGTTTGTTTTAATAAATGCTGGATTTTACATATTTGGTAAGCTGGGGGAGTTTCCATTTCTGTGTATTATATATATAAAGCAATAATTTTTTGGCTTCTTCTTAACCTTCTTTGAACTTTTTTAACTCTGCTATGGTAAAATCCTATTTTGTATGTTTACTTGTGTAATTCTCTGATTTTTGTTGTTACGTTTGCCTCGCCTTTGGAATTATCTGCTTTTACTTTTGGTTTCTTTGATCGGTTGGAGATTCTTTCCTTCTTACTTTGTTGTTGCTTGTGATGACAAAAGAGGTTAGGATAGTGGATTCTTCCAACTATTCAGTCATTGGGATTATTAAACTTGATGTTTGCAGCTCGTTGAAGAAACCTTGGCTGCACCTTTTTCAATTGTTTTTCACTTTTATTATATTATTATTTTAAAATTGTCTAGCTGTAAATTCACATTTTCTTACATGTCAATGTCTTCTTTTAATGAGAGAGGTTCATCCCATGCTCTCCCTTTAGACTATAATCTCCCTTTTTTGAAGAATACAATGATTAATATCAGGAACCACTCATTTCATTTATCTGTCTTTTATTCTTTTATTTATTCTTTTAAATCTTTTACAAAGCTATGTTCAGTTGGATTTCACTAAAAGGGGATGTGTGCACATGGGATGCGCTTTTGATGAATAATTTTTCTTCCTTTTTTTAAGGGACACATGAAACAAATGATTAGTCTTACGTAACTGAAAGCTTTTGTTACTTCACATCTTCTAGCTTAGGGAACATTATGGTACTCGAAGTTTCGAATGAATCCATTCTATATGCTTAATTGTTATTCTTAGCTCTCTCTGTGTTGATTTCTATGTATCTTATATCTGTTCATAATCTGTGCACCTGCAAACATCTGCTAGGAACATCGTGTACGAACGCGCTGTGGTTCTGTGTCTGTTATAGTATATGGGGATCAAGACAAGCCAGCACTAATCACATATCCTGATTTGGCATTGAACCGTGAGTATAATGCTGTCAAATACCATAGCCCCTTTGTTTCTTCCCCGGTTGTATGAAGTTTTTATTCATTATACTAAATGCGAGAGAAATTCATTAGGACGGATTCATTTGTTCCTCTTCGTCGGTTTTTAATCTGCAAATCTGCTTTCTAACAATTACATTGTACCTTTTGTGATACTTCTCTTTTCCAGATATGTCTTGTTTCCAAGGATTGTTCTTTTGTCCAGAAGCGGCCTCCTTGCTGCTGCACAACTTCTGCATTTACCATATTAGTCCTCCTGGCCACGAGGTCTGTAAATTAGTTGGCATTTTCCGGTTTGCTTTATTTTATTCTATCACCTTTAAATGAACTAAAGCAATTGTTGGGTTTAATTATTCACATAGTTTCCTTTCTGGCACTTTCACAAGAGTTCTTGCAGTTGGGAGCTGCTCCAATTTGTGAAAGTACTTCTCCACATTCTGTTGACGACTTGGCTGTTCAGATCCTTGAGGTTCTCAACTTTTTCGGGTAATCTTTTTCCTAATACCTTTTGTTTTACAGTTTATACAAGACTTTTTAGTTGATGCCGCCATCACACTTAATATAAGAGCTATCGGATTTGGTTGTGTCAGTATTTTAGTTGAAAAGGAGTTTTAATAGTTGGGATTCTTTTCAGGCTAGGTGCAGTGATGTGCATGGGAGTAACAGCGGGTGCTTACATTCTTACGCTATTTGCCGTAGGTTTCCTTGTGAATTCTTTTTGAGTAGTATATTTAAATTTTTCGATGCAAGTTCATTGACAAAGATTTTGCATTGCAGATGAAATACAGAGTACGAGTACTTGGTTTGATACTTGTATCCCCTCTTTGCAGAGCACCTTCTTGGACTGAGTGGTTCTATAACAAAGTTCGTTCTTAAGACTATTGATTATAGTTAACATTACTTGTGCATAAACTTTTATCGTATAACTAAAACGACCTACAATCTGTAGGTGATGTCAAATTTGTTGTACTTTTACGGAATGTGTGGACTGCTGAAAGAGTTTTTGCTTCAACGTTACTTTAGCAAGGTATCCTGTTGTTTCCTTCCTAGTAAACTATCTTCCAAGTTTCTTTTTGTTATATTTTCACTTCACGAGTATGTTGAATGATGAGATTTCTATTAATTGTAACAGGAAGTTCGTGGTACTGCTGAAGTTCCCGAGTCAGATATAGTGCAAGCATGCCGACGAGTTGGTGCCTAACATTTCTTGTTCTTTTACCCCGCTTTAAACACTGAATTTCCCATAGTTGACATATTCATATTGCATGTTTGTTTTCTTAGTTGTTGGACGAGAGATATGCATCGAATGTGAATCGGTTTCTTCAAGCAATTAATGGGTATGACGAGAGACTGCTTCGGTATCGTATTACTTCTCTGTTAAACTAAATAGATGATTTTGTAGTGATCTAAACTTTGTATCCGGAAACTTGCAGAAGACCTGATATTTCCAGTGGGCTGAAGAGGCTAAGATGCCGTACCTTAATATTCGTCGGGGATAGCTCACCTTTTCACTCCGAGGCCCTCTACATGACATCCAAGTTGGATAGAAGATTTAGTGCCTTAGTCGAGGTAAGTACTAATATTACCTATGTAAACATGGACGACTGTAGTGTTTTATTCGTTATTACGACAACGAATGATGCAAAATGGATTTTTTTTTTTTTTGCTTCTGCAGGTCCAGGCTTGTGGATCAATGGTAACTGAAGAACAGCCGCACGCAATGCTGATACCGATGGAATACTTCTTCATGCGATATGGGTTGTGCAGGCCATGCCAACTAACTGATAGCCCGAGGAGCCCGTTAAGTCCATCTTGTATCTCACCAGAGCTTCTCTCTCCCGAAAGCATGGGCTTGAAGCTAAAACCGATAAAGACCCGTGTGTCCCTCGAAGTTTGATTGTGGGGGCCGAGAAAGACAGGGTTCCCTTCGTTACTCGTTTTTTTTCTTTTTTTTTTTTTGGGGGGGGGGGGGCGGGGTGTTGTTTCTGTGGTGGGAAAAATGTACAAGGGAAGAGAAGCACAGCTTGTGGGAGTCCCGGGGGGGGGGTGGACTGGAGGAGGCTTTGTAGATACAGAAGCAAGAAATTGAAGGAATATAATGGGTTAACATGGATTCATTCTTTTGTAGCAACCAATAATGGATATCCACCCCTATATATGTTCGTTGTTTGCCTTATTTCACCATCTTGGAGACGGATTGATCATCGTCTAATTAATTAAATAAAAACATTAGACATATTATCTATATTTCAGAATGTCTTGATCTTCGTGTTTACAAATTAACTTTATTTTTATACAAATCCGACTATATTTAACAAATTATAGCCACATAAAAATCATGACACAGATAAATAATGAAGAAAAGAAAGAGAATTGAATAAAAAAATCATGCAGCTATACGTGGTTTTGGTATTAAACAACTGTAATTTCCTGACACAGTCCGTTGCCTTTTTGTCGTTTGTATTTATGTTTCTGTAAAACAAATATATTTGGCCAATTTCCCTCTTGTAGTTTCATCAAGAGCACGAGGATCAATGATTAAGCAGCTGAAGAAAGCGCTCTGAAATTAGGCCACCCCCTTTTGTTTCTGACGAGAAAGCTCAGGCAGCCTCGGTTTCTGTGAAATAATAACTGATACATGCTCCTTTTTATTGCAATCGAAGTAGCTGAAATCTATCTTTTTGAGAGTCAAAAAAGCTTATTTGGTTGTTGTGAATCACCAAAGATGCAATCTTTTTCTACCAAGAGCTCTGATTTGATGGAGAAATGTGATTTGGGTACCTCAGATTTGGGTGGTAAAGTGGTGATAGTGGCCGTTAAAGCAGCAAAGGAGATCCCAAGGAACACTCTGCTCTGGTCTTTGACTCATGTTGTTCAACCTGGGGACTGCATTAAGCTGCTTCTGGTTGTTCCTTCTCAATCCTCAAGTAACTTACTTTCCCCCCCCCCCTCATAAAATCATCTCCTTTCACTTCTCTATTTGTTTTATAGAATTTGTTGAACAAATTTTGGGTATTGAAAGTGTCATCTTTTGGGGACTGGATAGTATTTGTTGAACAAAGTTTGGACCTTGAAACCTTTGAGAACTTGTGGTTTATTTGCACAAATGTCCCCTTTCTTCCTTTTTTGAATTTGTTGGTTTGCTTATAAACGGCCACTATAGCATGCATGAGTCAAAAGAAAGAACATTATTCGACATGATTTTCCGTCGAAAACATTCGAATCCTTTAGGCTAAGATCATGTTCATTAAGCCAAAGTTTGGATATTGAAACCTTATATAGCTTGTGGTTTATTTGCGCAAATGTCCCTTTCTTCCTTTGTTGAAACTGTTGGTTTGCTCAGAAATGGCCACTTTAGCATGCATGAGTCAAAAGAAAGAACATTAATCGACATTATTTTCCGGTCAAAAACATTCGAATCCTTTAGGCTAAGATCACGTTCATTGCTATCAGCTATGCAATTATTAGTTTCAGTTATTCATGATTGCTGCAGCTGAAAATGTGGTTTGTTGATAACTCATTTTGATCCAATGGATTCTCAGGAAAAAAGATATGGGGGATTTCAAGATTTACGAGTGATTGCACCGCTGGTAATTGGAAGTCTATCTCTGGAATTAGTTCAGATAGAGAACAAGGTGTTGCAGATTCATGCTCCCAGATGATTCTTCAGTTGCAAGATGTTTATGACGCGGAGAAGGTTAGCGGATTAGTTTTAGTTTTTAAGTACTCTGTTCCTGGTATTCGGTTTTTTATGTTCATGTTTACAGGTGAAGGTTAGGATAAAAATCGTTCCCGGATCACCACGTGGAATCGTTGCTGCCCAAGCGAAGAAAGCTCAATCCAACTGGGTTATATTGGATAAGTAATATATACAATGTAAACTTTGTTCTATTGCATGGTTTTAGCTATGTATGATCATGCAAATTACTCAAGTTGTTAGTTATAATTACTTTCTAATCCTTTCACAGACACTTAAAACACGAGAAGAAACACTGCCTGAATGAGCTGCAATGCAATCTTGTCGTGATGAAGAGAACTCGGGCGGAGGTTGTTCGATTGAATTTAGTTGGATCACCGAACATTGAACCTAAAGTGGAATGGCCGTTATTGTCTGAATCAGAAACATCTCCTAGATATAGGAAAAGCAAGCATGGCCTGTTTGATGAAACTAAAGGGCCGTATGTGACTCCTGCCAGCAGTCCTGAGCATGAATCGCCTCTGACTGCTACTGATGTTGGAATGTCGTCAATATCTAGCTCCGATCCAGAAGCCTCACCATTTTTCCTCCATGGATTATACGAGAGCTTGAAGAAAGATCATTCATTTTTTAGTGAGGGAAGCCGAAATCCATTTGAATCGGATTCAGACTCCAACAGTGAGCCAGATCCTCCTACAACAGGTTCATTGCATCTTGGGAAGGGTTTAGAGAGATCGAATGATTCATCACTATCTTCAACATCGAGCATTTTGTTGGAGAAATTACCAGCATTGAATAGAGAACTCAATCTCGGGGTCCTTCATCACAGACTTGAAGCTATCTCACGGTCAAGAAATGCTCCTCCTAGACCTCCTCCATTATGTTCAATGTGTCAGCACAAGGCTCCTATATTCGGCCACCCTCCTAGGTCGTTCACGTATTCTGAACTGATATATGCTACCAATAGCTTTTCACAATCGAATTTCTTGGCTGAAGGTGGATTCGGTTCTGTTCATCGAGGGATCTTACCTGACGGTCAGGTCATTGCTGTGAAGCAACACAAGCTGGCTAGTTCTCAAGGTGACAGAGAATTTTTCTCAGAAGTCGAGGTTTTAAGTTGTGCACAACATCGGAATGTCATAATGCTGATCGGATTCTGCGTTGAGGATGGAAAAAGATTGCTAGTTTATGAATATATTTGCAATAGGTCTCTGGATTCTCATCTTTACGGTAAGTTCCTGCTATACTATGTTACAACTTGCTTAAATGGAAATGGATATCAGCATTTTCCAGTTTGACCGACCTCGAAACTATTGTTCCATTGCCTAACACAAGTCTAATCATAGATAGGGGAAATTTTCAGGTCATTGTGGAGATACATTGCCGTGGTCTGCACGACAAAAGATTGCTGTTGGAGCAGCTAGAGGATTGAGATACCTTCATGAAGAATGCAGAGTTGGATGTATAATACACCGTGATATGCGGCCTAACAATATCCTTCTCACCCATGATTTCGAACCTTTAGTATGTCGAATCTTCTAAAGCATGCTCGATCTTTTCTTATCAAACATTCTCTACATATAGGTATGTGGCTTAGTAGGGAGTAGGGACTGCAAACTGACTATTACTTTTCGAACATTTAGGTTGGAGATTTTGGCTTGGCGAGATGGCAGCCAAATGGAGACACCGGAGTGGAAACTAGAGTAATCGGAACATTCGGGTACACCTATGTAGCTTAGTTTGCCTTGTTGCTTTATCATCTAGAAAAGAAAAATATGTAAAAACATTCTTCTTGGTAGGTATTTAGCTCCAGAATATGCCCAAACCGGTCAAGTTACTGAAAAAGCTGATGTCTACTCCTTTGGAGTGGTCTTGGTAGAGTTAATCACGGGACGAAAGGCTGTGGACATCGATCGGCCAAAGGGACAGCAGTGTCTTACAGAATGGGTACGAGTTTGGCTCTTGTTTATGTTACAATCATCGCTGAAAGTACATTTACTTTGGATGATCAATGGATCACCATCTGATTTATTGTGAATCTGGTTTTCGGACACTTTGTATTTGGAGCAGGCACGGCCTTTACTCGAAAGTAATGCCATTTGTGAACTTGTCGACCCCCGCATGGGGAGCCTATATGCAGAGCAAGAGGTTTATGGCATGCTGCGATGCGCTTCCTTGTGCATCAGACGGGATCCTCATTCAAGGCCTCGAATGTCTCAGGTCGGATAAATCGGAATTTACGTTATGAAATTCCCTTGCAAAAGACGTTCATCGGCTCATCCTTGTGTCAAAGATCATCGCGAAAGAAATAAAACTGCGAATGATCTTTCCAAATGCCGCGTTATAATTTTGTGCACTGGTCGAGTCTAGCTTGTATTTTCATGTTTAACAATCACACTTTAACAGTCACTCTTGTTTATACTGAAGGTGCTTCGGAGGTTGGAGGGGGATGCGGTCACAAATCCGAAAATCGATGCATGAATTTCCCGGGATCCTGAAAACCGTCTGCCGAGCAGGTGAAACCGGTGAACATAGGGTCGAAGTACCTTCGCATGGTCCAGTGTTCGAACGAAGTTCGAAAAGTATTGGTACATGCACTCCACAAAGAGCAGGTCATTGTTGAAAAACTCCCAAAGACGGAGGCAAATTTAAGAAAACTGCAGGTTCGGCAGTTTGATTTCCAACAAACGAGCCATGATTGCAAATTACAGGTTATCGAAAACACACGCCAAGGGGGGCAAACACAGAAATTGCATCAGCCAGTTAAGAGTGAGCATTCCATCGAATTGAGATAAAAAATTTCTAATTATTCGATTTGATGAGTATCGAAATTTCTAATTATTTGATTTGATGAGTATTATTTTATAACTCAAATTTTATTTAATACTTTTCGAGTCTAATTGAGTTTATAAAACTTTAATCAAGTTGTCTGAGTTTATGTTTAAATTTAATTGTAAATATTTATAATATTATAATATTTTATTATAATTTAAACGGTTTTCTATATATATATATATATATACTTCTTCATATAGGATATACATATATCAAGCAAAGTTAAAGGACTCGACTCAAACTTAAAAATTAATCCACTAATTATTAAAAAATTTGAGTTATTCGAGTTCTATTTTTATAATTTGACTGGAACTTAAAAAAATTTGAGTCAAATTTATAAAATTACAAGTTGGTTCAATTCGATTTGAGTTTTTTAAAGTTGAATCAAATTGAAAATATCAAATTTTCAAATCGAGTCGGATTTTACTCACTAAAAAGAAACCAAATACATTATTTTACAATCTTTACAAAATAAGATAAAATAAAAACCATACTTAAATAAAGAACTTAGGAAATAGATAGCATTAAATTATTAATAATGGTCAAAATATTTTTAAAAATAAATTGTAGTTTGTCCTTACTTTAATACAATTTAAAGATCAAGGTTTCAATCGATTGAATCTTAACTCAATTTTTACACAAGTATTTTTACACAATTTACATCTGAGCTCCTCAAGGATTGAAATATTAACAGAATTTACATCAATTTTTACAAAAATATATCGATTAAAATTCATTTTGATTTGCTAGAGGGAGATTAAATCAACTAGAAAATAAATAAATAAAAAAGGAAAAAGTACATAAAGGATCCAAGTGACTCCAAACTTTAGCATAATCACATAGATCTATCGGTAGCTTACTTCATCTGCAAGATCATAAAACAGGCTTAGCAATGCATGCAGAAGCATTTTTCTTCTTCTAGGAAAAAGGAAGTGATAATTTAGATGATATTTCGATAAAAAAAAAAAAAAATTGTGCCGATTGTACCGAGGCAAAGTTAGAGGCTTGGATTGACATAGCTAAGTTAGTAAATAGAATGAGATTCAACAACAAATACATGGATATATACCTGTAGGTCCGTTTTCTTGTTATGAGAACCAGTGTTGCAAAGCCAACCATGATTATGACTTTTATCACCTGAGGTAAAGAAAAAAAAATTAGCATGAAATGAAATTACTTGTCAAATCATGCCATGAATTTTAGAAACTTTTAAAAACAACAATGGAGCAATGAAGACAGAGACATTTAAAGCATGAATTACTAGGAATATATGATATCTGGAAAGGGTAAGGTATACCTTTCCAAAAGGTCCTACAGAGTCTGGAGGAACCTCTGAATTCTCGGACCCTGGTCTTAATTTTCCAGAAGTCTTCCCATCTTCATTTGCCTCAGCAGCAGTGCCGGCATCAGCATCAACCTGAACGTAACAGGCAAATAAAACAATCTGGTTATGATATTAGAATCATCTGCACTTTTTCTAATACATATTTTTTGTTTGTTTGAATTCATTGGCATTGATCATTCCAAAAGTTACCATTGGTGGCATGACTTTTTCTGTCTTGAAATCATTAAGATGTGAATCCACTGGGATCTCCCTTGTCCGAGTTATTGTTGGTGGTGGTTTAGTAGAAGATTTCACATCCTGCATCAGATCAAGTCACAGCAACCTTAATCATATGCTCTAAGTTGCAATAACAAACGGGGAAACTTAAGCAACACGTTTGATATACCTGAATTAGACCGCCCTCGAATGCACTAATCATTTTTCTTATACTGCCATGGGCTTTCACAGCTGGTCCCTTCTTCTGAATAGGATAACTTCTGTCTCCGTCGTCTATTCCGAGACTGGATTCATCAGCTAGCAATCCACTTCGGAATAAACTTTCTGACGAACCTTGAGAAAATGGAGCATTCAATACATCAATAAAAAGCTTTTGAGGATCAGTACATGCAGGTTTAATGCACTGTTTGATTTCTTTTCTTTTTATGTTCCATCTTTCTTCAAGTAAACTGAAAATGAAAATCAAGTAAAGCAAAATCGAACCTGAACCTTCACTATTACCGACCGAAGAACGTTCGGGACTTCCATGACCTCTATTGCGAAGCTCTTCACGTTTCTTCTTCAGTGCAGCTTCTCTCTGAAAAGGAACTAAAAATATAACTTAATTGTGCTGCTGAAAGGAAAAAGTTCTTTTAATCAACCATTGCATCGAAAGAAACAATACCATTATCTGGATTCTCTGGTGCTCTTCTTCACTGAGGACAAACTGCAACTTCATATGGACATGGCCGCCTCCTTCGAGAGAAAATATATCGTCCCAAACACCTTTCTCGACCACCAATCTTGTCTCAACACCTTCCCCATACCAACAATTCTTCAATAAGCTTTACAACTAAAATGAAATCCCATTCTCCAATGCATGTTCAAAGGAACAGTGACAAACCTGTACGAGAAATCTCATTTCCCTCGGCATCTTCAAGTGTTATAATCAAATTGTCACGAAGGGTTGTCAACGGACTGTGCCACAGAAAACATGTTGGATTTAAAACGGAACAGAAGTCAGAAGCAAATTCTAAGGCAAAACAAAGAATCAAAACAGTGTTTGATATCACTACAATGTGAGTTCTCCCTTGTCGCAAGTCTGGTACTCTGTTTTTCCCACGGAAACTGCATTATGAACAATGATAAACCATAATTTTTTTATTGTCAAATACTGTGCATATATCGATATTGCCGTTCAAGATAAGAGAAGTAGGAGAAAGGGTGTTGATTGACTACCTTTCACTGATATTTCAGAAGATGGTGATGATGATTGGAGACCCTTGAAATCTAGAACTGAGATGAATAAAATGAGAAAATCTAAAAAACAAGTGTAACTGCCCTTTTTGAATTACAGTTAAGGGTAGCATTTGGTACCTGAAACTTGGATGGTTCCTGGCATTTTAAGAAATCTATGCAGAAAGACTAGAAATGTAGAGATGATGATAAGAGATAAGCCAGTGAAAAATTATAAAAGGAGTATTATAATTCCAATCTGATGATTTTTGAAGGCTAGCTTCTTAGAACAGCTCAGTTGCATCTCCACCTGGTAGAGTTTAGAAGCACAAGGGAATAAGAAAAAAACCATGTGGCTAGTTTTGAGGGGAAGGTTATATAATGGACAAAATTTTTCATGACTCATTTCAAAAGATGGGGATTGGGGTAGCCAATCAATCTCTTATCTTTTGTCTCACTTAGAGCTTAGTTTTAAAGGGTTCTTAGACTCTAGGAACAAGGCACATGACAAAAGTGCGCCCCTTTCATGGACACATTTTATGCTAGGAGGTTTATAAATAAATTATAGATCATATCTATACCCATTATCCATTGATTCACTCATAAAACACTTAATCTCTTCCCCACATTCTATTCCTTCATCATTGTTTGTCCCTTCCTCAAAAGTCGATATCAATTTCTACCATTCACAAGATCCATTGCTTGTCCCACAACTTAATCTGTTAGGTGGTTGTTGCAACCCTGATTATTCTTGTTGGATCAAACCAATAGTGTTGACTTGACTAATCAAGGTTATATAAAGCTAGTTTTACAAGACTATATAAAGTTAGTTTTGTTTAATTTTACGGTCTCCTCACATGGATAAACGCCTTAACTCTTGTCATTAATGTGATTGTGTATTTACACATCATTGCTAGATTCATGCAATATACAAATAGGAAATGTGTGCAATATCCTCACCTAGGTCAACGCCTAACTCTTGTCATTAACGTGGTTCATGTATTCACACATCGTTATTACTTGTAGATTTATCCGTTTGTACTGCCTCAAATCTTTTTTTCTCCTTCCAGTGTATCGTCTCCTTCTACTTTGTTTCTTTGGCTTTCTTTGCTGTAAAAACTCTTGATAACTGAGCAGAAGTTTTTATCCCTTATCCCTAAGGTGACAGAAGTGTGTGCCTTGCACCTATGCAGAAAACCCCCGAAGTGTGCATCTAGAAGGGCTGCCCGTATTGCACCACGCCTGTCTCTCCAAAGACGTTTTGCTGCACATCCACCTGACAACTTAGGCATACTTTTGAAAACTCAGCTTTTGTTATTGATAGGTGTATGATTTTGTTGTTAATCAAAGCAAAAACAAACATTTCACTGCTAAATTACATTGGCTAAACGGAATTCTTCCGCTGTCAACCAATTGAGAATATTCAATTAGTTCCGAAGGATCGGATGTGAAGAATGCCTTAGTCTAGTGAGTAATGCTGTTAAAATGTAACACAAGTTCTAAACATTCAATCTCACAAGAGATGGGTACCAAAAACCAGAACCCTCTTTGGCATGTGTTTTTTTCCCCCTCCAACCATCCTTGATAGAAACTAGTCCTTCGCTGAAGCAAGAATTTTGCCGAGTACAACGAGACATGTGAATCAAATTCTGGGAAGAGATTCTGCACGAAGAAACTGTTTGAGAACAGCCTTCTCTTTATCAATTCTTTTCTTTTCTCCAGGGTCATTAGGCTTGGCTTTTCTTTTCTCTTCCAATATCCACTTGAAAAGTTCACGCCGCTGGTCTTCGGGAATGGGATCCAAAGCGGGTTTTGGAACAACCGGAAGGATTGGCAGCTCCTCGTGAACTAAGGCATCTGTCACTGCATCGGAAGATACAGCTGCTTCAGCATCACTCTTGATGTCTACCTCTTCTTTAGCAGGTTTGCTATTAGCAATGCTTGTATTCTTCTTTTTCGGGTTTGCAAATATATATGCTGCAACCAGGAGAGAGAACATAAGCTAATTCCAGAAGATAACTCGTGATAAAGCAAATTGTATATCCCATGGAAAGAGCCATAAACATCAAAATTCATGTCAGTTCATAGAATTAAAATGGATGAATGGTATATCGATTTCGCTTGTCATCGATGCAAACCAATGTAACGCAAAATTCATCCCAGAACTCCAATCCTTATGAATGACAACACAACTAAGTACCAATTATCAGCAGTACTAACTTAACAACAACGATAAATGTTAGACTCAATGACTCAATGCTTCTCTGAACCAATTACCATTTCTAAAAGCTAACACTCATCTACTCGAACAACATGATCAATGACCGGAAATAAAATCCATCAAACCGAAAACTTGGTAGTTGGGTAGCAAATTTTCTCAACCCATTAGCGTACACCTTCCAAAACATACATCAGACGTAGTAATCATTAAGCCAAGCAATTCATCAAACACATTCTAAACTCCAGGTAAAAAAGAAAAACAAAGATTTTAAGAAAGAGCGTCAACCAATTGTTTAGAAACTAATATGGGTTTAAATAATACAGACGCCAAATGAAATACCTCCAAGAGCGAGGTTGGAAATCAAGAAGAAACGCCAAATGGGCTTGAAGCGGTTCATGCGGGACTCCTTTGGAGAGAGAGGAGGGGTTTCGTTTTGAGAATGAGATGGCTCCATTTCCCTTTTCCCTGTAGGGTTTTTCTTCCTTCAGCTTCTATTGTTCTTGAGGCTGGGATTTCCTTGTAAACCCTATAATCTAATTCCAAACCTTTGATTTCGGCTCCTAGGCCTGGGAAAATAAACGTTAAAGTTTAACAGATTCTATGGAGATGAGTAAAGCTCTATTGGTCTTTTGATTGATTGAATGATTCTTGAATCTTCAACTTTGATCAAATTAAAGGCCGAGTGATCCAAGATGTTAATGGCAGGGCTCAGTTCCAGCCTTTCACTCTCTATCAAGATTCAAGCCCATAAAAGATTAACTTGAATCTGCTCCAACTTTGAACTGATTTACATATGTAATTTGGACTATGGATTTAGATATGAACGAATAGTAATGTTTTAGAGATAATAGTATAATTGTTCTCTGTATATTTTGGATTAATAATTGTTATAATACTCTTTTCTTTGTATTTTCTCAATTAAATCTCTTTCTTTTCCCGAATAAAACTATATTTTTATATTTATATCCGGTCAAATACAAATATGAGTTTTCTCTCTAAAATTTAAACCATATAAAATTTTATTAAATGTAAATCATATCGAATATTAAATAAAATACACCCCGACTATAGGGTAATGTTTTGTTGAGTCTTTTTACTATTAAAAGTTACTCAATCCCCCGACTATAAGGTGTTGTTTTGCTCAGTCCCCTAACTATTAAAAGTTGCAAAATGATCACCCGACTATTCATATGTTTCAAACTCGTCCTTTTTCGTTAAAAAAATTGATGGTTATATACGTTGAACGTTAACTTGCTGACTGAGATATGATAAAATTGTATTTTAATGATGTATACTACCATTGTCGCTGCTTTCAAGCATTGACTCGATAGCATAACGCTTCGAGCATTGACTCGATGACATAATACAAACGAATAGTTGATCTAGAAAATACAGCTCAAACAGTTCTGGAATCAAATTTTGTCGAATCCTAATCAACATGTTAACGTTCAGCTAAGATGAATGCCAATTTTTTAACAAAAAATTACGAGTTTGAAATATATGAGTTGTCGGGTGATTATTTTGTAACTTTTAATAGTTAGAGACTCAACAAAGCAACGTCCTATAGTTGGAGAATTATTTTGTAACTTTTAATAATCAAGAGCTTAATAAAGTAGTACCCTATAATCGAGAGACCATCTGTATACTTTACCTATAAAAATATAATACTCGGATTAAAATTGAATCCACCAAAGGACCATCCTAAACAATACAAATGATAAAAGAAAAAAATATATTGAGGGGAACAAAGCTTTCTGATTCGTCCACTGATGTAAAAGGAAAGCTATGATGTTGGGATCCATGCACATCACTTGTGTCAACCTCATACATTGATAAAAACACAAAAGGATAAAGAAACTCTTATGTATGACTTGGAATGATAAACCCATTCTTATCCTTAAAACATAAACATCTTCTGCTTCATTAAACAACTAAGCTCGCCCATGAAAATGTGCACCTAAATTCATTTTTTATTATTATCAAAATTTAATTCATTTGTCAATTAATTTAAATCGGGTTTTATAGCCATTCATTTTGAAAACAATCTTCTAAACTCAAAAATATTTCATTCACATATCATGATTCAAATTATTAATCTTAAGAAGATAAATAAATATCGAATACAAATATATTTTATTACAAGATCACGTATATACGTAGCTTTGAACTTTGTGAAAGGCTAGCAAACACAAAAGACTTGTTTCCCTACCAATACACTTTCACCCGTCCACGCAACATGCCTTCAAATGGTGCTGAGACTTTACTTAAAGGTGCCTTCAAATGGTGCTGAGACAGGAGATGGTAGAGTTCTTCTTATCTTATAATCTAAGGTAAACTACATGTTTAGTACCTAAATTAGTAATTTTGTTTCGTTTTGGCACCTATACTTTACTTTTTTTCAAAACCATACTTAAGGTTTAGTTTAAATTTTTTTTAGTACCCCACCTTTAAAAACTTAAAGGTGATGTTGATGCGTCGTCATAAGGTAATGCCACATCATCATTGAAAAACATAAAAAAATATCATGTTAATTTTTTAACGGCGAGATATCAATTTAAAACATAAACTAAACGTTAGGAATGGTTTTGAAAAACATAAAGTTTGGATACCAAAACAGAACAAAAATAATATTTTAGATACTAAATGTGTAGTTTATCCTATAATCTATATATATATAAAGGTTTAGTATTTTAAGTTTTAGGGTTTAGGTTTTTATGTTTTAAGTTACATAGTTTAGGATTTTAGATTTTAGATTTAAGTTTTAGGGTTTAGAATCGTTAAAATAAGATTAATATTATTAAAATAAGTATAGAATTTAAATTTGACACACATCAAATAATCTCTTTTCATTTTATAATCAATGTTGAGAGTTTAAATTTAAATTATCTCAACATATTTTGTTGCTGTATCTAACACTCCCGATTAACTTATGGATGAGTTATTGGAGATTGAAATATTTACACATGCACACGACCAACAACTTGGGTGGCTAAGGTCTGGTCCCCAACCAGCAGTAGACCTAATGGCTCGGACCCCAGTTCCTTGTTAAAGGAAGCTTGTAGGGATAAATTTAGGTCAAAGGATGCAACAAAAATGCAGCACAAGTATCAACAACTGGAGGTAGTTGAACAAATGAATATGCAGTGGTTTCAATGTCAAGTAAAACTGTATTCATTATAACCATAACTAACCAAGTATGGTAGGAACATCTTACTATTTTATTTCGGTTTTATTCACTATATGACCCTTAAAGTATACTCATTTTCTACTTACGTACTTAAAGTTTTTTTTGTCCCATGTCCTTATACGTAGCTTATTTCGAGGTGAGTTAAGACCGAAATCGAGACGAAATAGGATTTAAATACCACATTGAAAAAAAAAAAAGACTTGTCAAATTCAGTGGCAAAGTTATGAGTTATGCCTTTTGTTTTTGTCACCATAACTAATGTAGTCAATGAGAGCCTTGGTACTCTCAAAGTTTTGGGAAATTTACATTATACAATTAAAATATTAGACCCCTCAAACTTTTTAGAAATTCTCATGAATTCTTTAATTTTTTTAATATTTTAAATAAACCCCCTCAAAATTGTTAAAAATATTCATTCAAGCTCCATTTTTATATAAAAAAAATTGTAATTAGAATCTCACTTTCTTTTAAAAAAAATCTCTTTAAGTCACTCAATTTTTGAAAGTTTTGATTATACCTCCAAAAATTTGAATAAACCCCCCACCCCAACCCAAAGTATACCGTCAAGATCCGCCACTGCGGAGAGAGGCCTTGGCTCCCTTTATCTAATTGTTATATTGCACTTTTAATCCTTTTAAAAAATTTATAATATGATTGAAGTCTTTTTTAGTAAAAAGTTTATGCCTTTGCTCCTAAGATTTTTTAGCTTATTTTGATCCCTACTAACACCAAATTTTGATTTAATCTCCGACCATCGTACCTATTCACGAGGAAAGTCCTTTTAATTTACGTATCTGAACAAAGTCTATGATTGGCTCGAAAAAAGTTTCGAGATTGAGGCGATTACTGATGATATAACTAGTAGATATATTCTTCCTCGTGTTAACATATTTTATCGTTTAAGAGGAATTACACTTATTTTTTGGTACAAGTAGCGCATACAAGATTTCTTATGATTTTTTTATTATCGTCCAACTGTTACCGAGGTTTATTCTTCTACTCAATACATAATGACTGAAGTTAACATTAATTGGTTAACCCGATCAGATTATTGATGGTGGGTAAATATGATTATCTTACACTTATCTTATTTCTATTTCGCTGATGATTTTAAAGGATAAGTAATTTTTAATTTATCGTAATAAAACAAATTATCGATCATCATATTAATGTACTTATCTTATACGAAATAAATTTTAATATTTTAATTATGTTAGTTTACATTTGGTAGGATGAAACATTTAGACAATGTAAAGCATATATGTTAGTTAAAACTTCATTACGGAACCTAATTGATAATGGATTAGATATCGAAATCAGATGGTTTATGTCATTGATTGAGAAGATAACCTAAATCTTCTCTAAAAAATTATAGCAAAAGTAATGGTTTTTTGTGCACTCAAACTCTATCCACTTAGCTTACTCCAATTTCCCATCAAAATCGACCTCAGAATTAGTTGGATAACCGAAACACACAGTTCAGCCGGCCTGCTGTAAGAAAACGACAACCCAGCAACTTGCAATTGGTTCTTTTTCTTTTTGGATAAGTTCTTTAAAAGACAACATTAGCTAATGGGGGAAACAAGAACCATTTATTTTTATTTTTTTTTTGTAAATTGCACTAGATGTTCTAGAATTACTGTTTGAGTTTTAAATTGGTTCATAAACTTTAAAATATTTTCATTGAATTCTTAAAATAATAATATTATATCATTTTGATTTTTCATTACACGTACGTTAGTTGTCAATTTATGTATTAATTGTCGATTTAAATGATAAAATGAATTCTCAACTTTTTTAAAAATCAATTATACTCATCTACCACATCATCATTCATATATGGATCATCATGTTCGTATTGTTGACTGTGATGTTAGTACAATAACGATTAAAACATTTTTCATTAATTAAATTTTTTAAGTCTGGAGCTCATTAGGTGCATTTTTTTGCGCAAGAGCTTAATTGGTTTTTTTTTAAGATCTGAGGGTTTATATATCCCTCGAGTCATATAATATTAATATTTTGAGGACTCAATTATAATAATTTTACTTTTAAAGATAAATCTAAAATCCGAAATATGCTTAGGGGGACTTGCAGTGCAATTACCCTTTTTTTATATAATT